CCAAACAGTGAAATACAATATTTGTAAGAAATGTTTGCAAATTATGAAGATAAAAGTCCTCCAAAATTGATACACTGTAAGCAAAGGGCGATGGAGTAGCAAACAGGCGATCATCAGATGTCATATCTCTCGACCCGTGTTTCTCCCTAGGGAGCCTCATTTTTCTCCTTTTTCCTCTTTTCCTCTCCTCTCTGCCCAAAGGCATGAACTTAACAGAAATTGGGGACAAGGGCTGTCCAACACATCGATCAGCGCTTTCCAGTGCCACTGAGGAAGCGAAGACTAATGCTTGCCGGAAGTGTTGCGATGGAAGCGAATGCTACAGCACCCTCTACTTTTCTCCCAAACACACTCTCCCTTTATTCTTCTCCTCGTGATTGACACATTGTTACTGCCTCAATCGCCGAAAGAGAAGCGGTAGCAACAGTAGCAGAAGGGAAGAAGAAAAAGAAGAAGGAATGCCAAATCCTAATTACCTTTGTTGGGCTCTGTTTTAAAGGGCGAAGTTGGAACCATAATTTTGGTAGGGGTTTTTGCTAATCAGAGGAAGAAAAATAGGAAGGAAAAATTTGCTATCCAAATAACGCACCTCTATACAACTATGATCCCTTTCAGATTTTGGTATGTCCCTTATATATGTGAGGTTATCGATTTTTTCATTGATTTATGCATCGGTCAACAGAGCCGTGGACACATAAGTGGTAGTTCGGCAACGTTACTCACGGAAAATAAATTTACAAAATCGGCCTTTATTAGCACAATGATCATATAAGTGGGCTGCCTTGGGAATTCAAGGTCTGATTTAGAACTGACCATACTAAAAATTTTACCTGACCTCTAGATAACCTCTTCGTAATTGACCCTACCTCTAGAATGGCCTGGGGATTGACACACAGTTAAATTAAGCAAGCCATAGATGGAGCTCATGAAAATTGTCAACGAATTTCGCCAGCCCTTCCAACTCTTAAGCGAGTAACACAAAATAAGAACTACAGTAGCTTAGGGTACAGGTTTTGTTGCGCCGAGTTATAGGGCTACTAACGAGTAAGCACTTTTACTTGATGAAAATGTGTATCTGAATTAGTGAACGAGGGCAAGCATTGCCTCGTTTCACACAGTCTAGTGGTATTTTGGATCTGGGTGTCCGGACCATTCTCTTAGCACAGTTACAGCTGTACGATTTTTAAAGGGAGGAGTTGAGCAAGCAAAGTATTAGATCCAAGGGATGAGTGTCTGTTATTCCATTTATAAGCACCTCTAAAACAATAAAGGTAAAAAATAATGAGAAAGTAAGGTCTCCTGAAATTGCAACCAAATGAGATGCTTGAGAGAATAATTTTGGTCTCCCACACGTTAAAAGGCCGTACATGATGGTATTTTGATATAGCGGTGCAACCAAGCTATTCGACCGTACCGCTTTAGGTGGCTGAGATTCTCGGAAGACACAGGAAGATAAAATACATCGCCAAAATGCTAATGATCATTAGACGGAAAAGTTTTGGGCCTGCTGACATGGCCTAGATTCAATTAGCTTGGCTTCGTTCAGATGGTCGACGGGGTGGCTATAACTGAAATCGAGATACAAGCAAAACAAACCTATTTTGATGGTCCCCGGCGGTCCCTTGGGTAAACCTCAAACCTCAGCCAGCACAACGCAGCCAGAAATGAAACACCCACGAGATCATCACGACAGTCATCAATTTTTTATGCACTGAGGAGACGTTCGACTGCAACATCGTTGATCCCTCTTGGCGACTCCACCTGTTCCCGAGTTCCGCTAAATTTGAAAAATGGATATTTTTGCCTTGTACTACTAAGAGCCGTCACTCAGCAGCTGAATGTGGAATTAGTTTTCATCAATACTGCGACCATTTTCCATTTCCATGAGTGAAGAACACAATACCTTGATAGTGTGCACACTTATTCGACGAACGGAAAAGCATTTTGGCTGACAACACAACTCGGAGGTCAGCCTAGTGGATAAAAGCAATGTAGTCACTCAAGCGGCCGAGAACAAGAATTAGAAACAAACAAAACCGTGTATAGCGATCATTAACGACCAGTGATTAAGGGGTTACAGATAGACCTTAATAAACAGCATTTGGTTAATTGGCCGTTGCTTTAAAATAATTTACAACTTATAGATTAACAAAGGGCGGACAGGAATTAAACAAATTCATTACATTTTGCAAAAATACTACTGAGTTAACGTCAATGATGGAGTCCTTTAGGAAAGACTCAAAAACGTTTTGCAACCATGCCTTAAAGCCCACGTCAGGCTTGCGGTTGTGGCATCGATGAAGAGCTTTAATCGATGCCTGCTGATCAAACCACAAAAGCCAACACACTCATTCGGCCAATATGATTCCCCAAAACTATTTAGCAACACTTTTGAAATTCTCCAGTAATTTCATAATACATAATTGCTAAAAAAGGAGGATGTGCAAAAGAGCAACAACGTTTAGCATCATTGACATTCACAATGCCCATGATCAAGCATATCACTGTACATTGCGACCATCTGCAGCGAGCGGAAGAGGTGAAGGACTGTTTGGTCCCAAGTACAGGCTTGTCAACAGGTAGTCAATGCCTATGCGTGCGGCCTTTCGTTAAAGAGGAGAAAGCAGAGTGCGAGACGAGGGGAGGCAATGACAGACTGACAAGTCTCCTTGACATACAATGGCGGGCGGGCTGCACACACCTCTCCACACTAGCAATCACAGACGGACTGAGGGAAGCAACACAAAAGTCGGGGCCATGCACCTCCACCACTGATGATACAGTACAGTGAGGTCTGTAATCAAACTGAGTGTTCGCGTGCTACTACCATCAGAGTTGTGCTAG